TCAACGGCATTTTGACAAAATGCTGGACAAAGATGAACCTTACTCCACCACAATTATTAGACAGTTATTTTCAGAACAACCTGATGCAGCAGAACGTAGTCTTGAAGGTTAAACCTCTTTCAAATGAAACCCCTCATATGGTTTACGGTGGTAACGAGTTTCACGTTTTCCTCCAAAACCTGGATGGTGAGCACATAGAGGACGACCGGCAGGAAGCTTCAAACTGCATCAGGGAGGGAAACTCAATGCAAGACTCTCCATAGATTACACATAACGCCCTCCATTCGGAATAAGATGGACCCAGGCCTGTCAGCACAATGCCTGAAATGTCTCAGAGAGAGAAAACTAAAGTAACCAAGGATCCTGGCCTCTTCCTATCGGGTCTGCCTTCTAAGTTTGTGTCACTCCCCTCTCTTAGATTTAAATCGCTAGATAGACTTTTACTTTTGGCAGCAAAATGTACACTGCTGAAGTGGATCAAGGACAAACCTCCCACTGTTAGCATGTGGTACGAGGAGATTTTTTCTTTACTTCCACACGAGAGGATTAGTGATGAAAGGCAGTGAACGGTTCTTCTTGACCACTTGGCAACCACTCATGGACGATACCTTCCTGACTTACTGTCAAAAGGATTCTCTCACCTCAACTGGACTGAACACGGACTCTGGACATTCCTGTTCAGGCTGAGGCTGGACTTAAATGTGATGGAGGTTAATGAAACTGTGACGTGAGCATGATGAGGGAACGGGGCATTCTGTATATTTTGTATATGTACTACTTTGTTTACCTTTTAGTTTTTGTTGTTTTAACTGTATTGTCTGACAAAAAAAATCCTCCAAAACGAAAGAGGAAAGTTCTAAACATTAAAGCACATGAATGCAGATTTATCGTGACCCCAAGCCGACCCCTACATAAAGCATTGCCGTCAGCTGCAGCGCCACAATCCTGCTCGCTTATGACCCGATGCATCCGTAATAACGGTCAGATCCTGTGATAATGCAGCACAAACAGCAGCTAGTATACTGTATAAAATAAAGTCCTTGTCTAATGCTTGAATAGCTTCAGAGAACATGGATTAGACATTTGATCGCAGGGTTTTTCCTGGATCAGAACGGGCCTTTGGAGGGCGTCTACACACAACAGCAGACATGGTTGGTCTGCGTCGAGACAAAAAGTCTGTGTGATGAACAAAAATATCTATTATGCTTGAATAAATGAAACCTTGAAGAACAAAAATGACTTAAAAAAATGTATTTTTTTGTCCAGTCGTCCTCAAATGTCTTCATCCCCTTCCATTAAAGAAACAGCAAAATTCACAATATTCACTGAAATAACTAGAAACTAAAAAAAGTAATGATAAATAAAAATTTGCTAAATTATAATTTAGTGAAATGAGACGCTGCTTTTGAATTGTGGTTGTAAAGAATAATTTAAAAAAAAAAAAAAAAAACTGTCCCGGACCAATGAGAGCCCTTTGCTCACCTGTCAACAGGTGCAGAAGTCTGACTGAGAGTTACAGGAAACACCTGATTGGCTCAAAGGTTTGTTCAACTAAATATTAGTTTATGGGTCCCATAATGCTTGTTTGCATTTTTAAAAATATATTTCTGTTGAACCACAATTCCAAAGCAACGTCATGATTTCCATTATATTTTTATTTATTATCACTTTCGTCAATTCCAACTTATTTCAGTGACTGAAGCTGTTTTTTTCCTTCTTTAATGGGAGGATATGAATATATTTGAGGACGACTGTATATTATTTTGACTAAATCCTCTTTGTGAGGAACCAGAACTTCGTCTAGCTAAAACTCGTGATTAGTTTTATCACAATTTCCTGCATGACTATGGATGCATGCCTTCTTCACATCCATGTTTTTGGTCCCTTTACCCAGTGAAGGTTTTGAATATTTCTTTTCCTGCTATTATGTTGCTCTGACTATAAGGTTTCAGTTTACAGAGCTGCTACGCTGCTTTTATTATGAGAAAACTGTGTTTAGTCTGTTATTATTAATGGTAATATTTTAATGTTATTCATTTTATTGTACTTCTGTAACTCTTGTCCTGCTTCTTCCATATGCCTCGTTTGTATCCAGCTGCTGTAAAATGTAAATTTCCCCAGTGAGAGATCATGAAAGTTTATCTTTATGGTAATATCTATTTCTGAGTCATTTCCACCACATGTTCTGGTGTTTGTCTTAATCTGACTCACTGCGTGTCGACTTTAAATGTAAGTTTCTGCTGCACATTTAATGCAGCTTTCTCCTCCACTTCCACCATCT